CGGGCGTGGGGTAGAGCACCGTCAGGGATCATGACTTGGTCCATCCCGCTTAATAAAATTACTACCTAATTGATTGTAGTTTTGTGATATCCTTATAAAAATGGATTAATTGTCATAATTGGGCTTCGTGCCAACTACTTGAATCCTTCAGGGATTATTTTTACTGGTTTCTTACCATATTTCTAGATATTGAACTCAGTCCTGGTATTTAACACTGTTTTTGTAAACTCAGCCATTTTTCTAAAAGTAGAAACTAAAGTAATATTTTTAAATGAAGTTTGGGCTGAATATTTTTATAGTATTGTGCCTAAAGGCTTATGTGATTTTGGACTGAGTATGGGATCGGACTGCACGCCGCAGTGGTATGATATTGTTATTGATATGAGGCCTAGGGCCTGTTTGATGCCACGAAATGGCTTATTATTGCGCTTGGGCCGTAAGGGGCCCCTCCCGGAGTCTGCACACCCCCAGTGAGCGCCGTCGACGTTAAATAAATGGAGCGGGCTGCACGGCCGCAACGGGGTACTGGAGAGTACCGGTCTATGTGTTGCATTGCATATTTTAATTGTCATTTATTCTTTATCTGTTGTGGTATTATTGTAATTGTCCTCGCTATTTTACTGTATTTATAGCTTTACCTTGTGTTTATTTGGGATTTATTATCCTCAGACATTATTTATATTTATTACTTTCTGGGTTGGAAGTACTCACAATACTCCCTGCACCTTGTGTGCAGATTCAGGTACACCACAGGGTGAGTGAGGACTTGTTGGCTGAGCAGCGTTTATCCGGGAGTATCGAGGTAGCTGCATGGCGTTCGCAGCCTTGATCTCTCCCATCTATCTTTATCCTTTTATTCGTATTTTCTTTCCTAGACAGACTTGTGATTAGGTGAATATTTTGTATTAGAGGCTCATGTTCGTGACACCAGATCTGTGGGCTATTGAGTATTTTATTTTGGGGTTTTCGGAGGTTAGAAATCATTTCAGAGATTCCGCATTTAAATTGTTATTTTTACTTGTGAATATTCATTTATCCATCTAGGTTATTTGGTTAAGGTTGTGTAAATGGTCGGGCTTGCCTAGCAGTGTGTTGGGCGCCATCGCGACCGGGATTTGGGTCGTGACAATAAATAATCATGACAATTTTAAAGTAGGTTAAGATTACTTACCGCTTGGACTAAGGGTGAAAATCTCTTCAAAATCGCCTCTCCTCCGAGCTAGGGCTTCAAAAATAGAATAAAAATGACAAATTCCTGACTTCAGCACTTAATATCACTGTCAGGCCCCTTTTTTGCCATCATGAAATAGCTCTTGCAATCGGGAAGCATGATAGTTCAAGCCTCTTACGTGATCATAGCAGGTTCCTTGCGACCGCGTTGGCCAACTGGTCAAGTCTCCTCTTTCCACTACACAAACGTAGTTACACTAACGCGATCGTGATTAATGCCTAGATCCTCTTTCCTAATAACAGAGCATCACTGGTGTCGCGGTTAACAAATTCCCCCCGGGCCATTTCTTCTACCCGATGTGGCTGATGACCACGATCGCGATGCGTTTCTGAGCATCAGCAAACCGGCAACAGTTGCAAAACACTTCAAAATTGTCCGAAACTACCGGAAACTCATCGAGGCCCCGAGACTCCATCTAATTATTCTAACAAGTGCATATACCTCATACAAAATTTTTGAAAGGCTCAAAACACGATTAACAACTTCGAAATCACGAATCAAAGATCAAACCATGTTTTTGTTAACTTTCAAACTTCCAACTTCGCTGAACGCATTCAGATCATACTTAGACCTTTCGGATTATAATCAAATTTTGCACACAACTTCCATTCAACAACACGAACCTATCTTCAGTCCCGGAACAACAATCGAAATTTGATAACATCAAAGTCAACTATTGGTCAAATTTAAGAACTCTCCTATTTTTCAAATTGTCAACTTCCAACGAATAGAGTCAAAACGTTTTAGGAACATTCAAAACCAAATTCGAACATACGCACGATTCAAAAATCATCATACGAACCTGTTGGAACCCACAAAAGGCGATTCCGAGATCATTCACCCAAAAGTCAAACATTGGTAAACTTTTACAACTTAAGACTTCTAAAATAGAACCAAGTGTTCTAAATTGCTCTCGAACCTTTTGGAACCAAAATTAATCATATGCGCAAGTCATTAAATATCAAATAAGCCTACTCAAGGTCTCAATCATAGGATGAAATGCTAGAATTCTAAATGAACGATTGAGTCGTTACAAGTTTAGGCCTAACTCAGTGACATAAACATATTCACTATTCATACAAAATTCATTTTGACTTTTACATAAGGACGACGTCACACCAGACGTCCTGCTTTAACTTCCCTAGCCCCAACTGATCTACCATCTCCGTGGACGCTATCTTATCCAAACTCCCAGCATCAATGATTATCTTTGTACTGGCCAATTCCGACATAGATTTTGAATACAGCCTTCCGTCTTCTCCTCCTTTCTGAACCCCAGCCTCGGTTCGGTCGGTCATGGGGCTTCCCATCAACTTCTACATCATTATGGTCTTTGCATATATTTCATCCCTTAATCATCCTTCATTTATTTGTAAATGTCACAAACAACTTAACTTCAACTTTGTTACCATGTCAGCGTCACAAATTGGTGTCTGAGGACAATTCCAATAGGTAATCAAAGAACTCGCGACATGCTAAATAAAAATATATTACTTGCAAGAAAAAATAGGGAAGAAATGAGTGAATAGCCACTGTTTAGATCACTGATAAAACTTTAGCGATCTCAAATTTAGCCACTTTATAATCAATTGGATAAGAAGCCATAAACTAATCACGGAAAATTGAAGACAAATAGCAAAAGGGAAAACCCCCAGTCAACGAGCGACTAAGAGAGACACTGCCTAGCCCCATTGCTTACGGATCTACCAGTGGCAAATATATAAGAAAATCATCGTTGAATCGTTTGTTCAAAAAACACTCTTAAATATAAAAGTAACGGCTTTGCAAACAAAAAAAATTCTCCCTTTTATCTTTTTATCTGAAATGTGGCAATACAAAACTCCATTAATAAATATTGTAGCTTGATCAGTTCAAACTCCAACATACTTTTATGGAGTTTTGAACAGTCACAGTTCAAACTCCAGCTTTTTAAACTCTAACAATTTAGAACTCCATGAAAAATTCTAAGAGGCTATTGGAGATTCACCTGTAAAAGTTCCGAACTTTAGCACATTATGCTGGAGCTTTTTCGTATTTTAATTGTTATTCAAATTTTATTTCTGCACCAAAAATAATAATCTCAATTATATTTTAAATAGTGCCTAAATATTAACAATCAATCCAAATATTTTTTATTTCACAAATGGGCATACTAGATCATATATTTATATACAGATAAAAAGATCGACCGATACATTTGTACATGAGATCTTTCTATAGATTGTGAGGGCATTCACCCCTATGGCCATGTTCTATTCGGAGGAATAAAATAAAAATAACCTTTCGGAGATATGGCAGAGCAGTTGATAGCCCCAATCGCCCAAATTTTATAAGGAGAAAGTTAGTTGGGCTCACCACTTTTTGGATAGACTATTAGGCACCGTTTGGCCATAAGTTTTGCCAAAATAAATTGGGATTTATTTTCAAAACTCATGTTTGGCCATAAATTTTGCCCATATTTTGGCCAAATTCCAAATCTCAAATCTCAAATCCCAAAATCAGCTCTGAGCTGATTTTGGGCCGAAATCCCAAAACTTGGGAATTATATACATGTTTTTCCAAAATAAAGTTGGAAAATATGTTTTGAAAATGTATGTCCAAACACATTTTCATCTTCAAACCAAAATTCACCCAAATCAGATTTTTCAAAATAAATTTGGGATCTATGCCCAAACAATAGCTTAGAGTTTAGCCAACTTTCCAAATGTATTACGTAGCAAAATTGCTTTAGAGGCGACTGTAGTTAAGTCTTCATTTTCAGAACTTGCAGATGCAAAGCTTTAAAAGTTATACCCAACTCCAGTATAAGGAACTCGACTTTTACCTTCAAAAGTCGGTCTCTTATATTGGGACAGTAAAGTGTATTCATAGAGAAGGGTCCTTTTCTTAAGGTTCTAAAGTCTGAAGTTTCAGTCTTACAAGTTCCAAGCTCCAACATATGGTGTTGGAGTTATGCGTACAGAAATTTTCGTGTTTTAACTAAGGATACTTTTGTCCAAATATTTTTGGTATCAAATAGTGGCTAAATACTAATAGCTTTTTAAATGGGTGAAGTACACAAATAATCCTCAAAGTGGACGGTCTTGAATTTTTGTCCCTATTTGCCTCATGAGAAGAACTCCAAGTTTAACAAGTGTTGCCCTTGGCTCATTCCATGGGCAACACTTTTAACTTTTAACCTTAACGTTCTACGCATAAAGCAAGCGGGAGTAAAAGTTAAAGGTCAGCGCAAAAAGTGTCATATTTCTATAATTTTTTGCAAGACAAGTGTGGATTGCAAGATGCGTTGAGGCCGGTGGTGGATTTAGGGGGGGGGGGGAGGGGGGAGGGGGTTCACCCAAACCCCCTTCGCTGAAAAATTATACTATATATATAAGGTAAAATATGTTTTTTGTCTCTATATATTATGCATTGACTCCCCTTGACACAACTCAAAAGCATAGCGTAGTGGTAAGGGGTTCAAAACCTTTGTCGTTCAATTCCCACTCGCTACAGTTTCTTCTAAGTTTTTCACTTTTTTTTCTTTTTTGAACCCCTTAGCAGAAATCCTGTCTCAGCCATTGGTTGGGCGAGTTATTGAAGTTTGTTTGGGCTATCATCTCTCGTGGCTCACGGTCAATATGCTTCTCGTTAACCAGAATGGAAGTTCCTGCCTGTTCCAAAAAATAAAAAAAATGTTCCTGCCTGTGTTTCGCATGCATTCCCATTACAACAAGTCCCTTGAGCTCCTACTTCTACTGAGCTTTAAGCAGGTTTTTCCCTTGAGTTCTACGAGCAAAGAATTAATTTTATTGACTAAGACAAATTATTTTAACTTCAGAATAACAGGAATAGATTACAAAGATAAACAACTAATTAACTGCTAAAAATTTGAGCAAATTTTGTTTCAGCACACTGGGATTCTGTACCTTCTATAGTGGAATATAAAGATTGAAGAAGCCTCTGAAGAAAGAAAAAAAATGACAGGATCAAGTATCAACTGCAAAAAAATCTTGGGAACTCAAGAACTTCTTGACATGAGTGTAGCCAAAAGTTTAAGCTCCAATTTTCTCAATGTTTTCTGAGACAGTTTTCATCCTTGGTCGAATATCAGGATCTGCCTCGGTGCACGCAAGAGCTACATGAAATACAGCAAGTACTTCCTTCTTAGCATGGATTTCCTGAAGCAACATTGGTTCCACCATGTCCGATAGTGGATTTTGCTCCTCAAATCCCTTTCTTACCCATCTTACAAGATCTGGAACTTCCGTTGAAGTGGAAGTTGTGGGAATTGAGAGGTCAGGAGACTTTCCGGTTAGCAGTTCAAGCAAGACAACCCCGAACGAGTAGACATCCCATTTTTGTGTAGGTCTATTACCAGGGATTCGAGCTTCTGGTGCTCGATAGTTGTTGGGTCGATCTGGTTGAGAAGGCTTCAAGTAAGGAAGAGCTCCACCCATAAAGCCACCAGAAGAGGAGGGGTTGTTTCCCGTGATATTAATCAACCGATTGAGGCCAAAATCAGAGACAAATGGCTGCAGTTCATTATCAAGGAGAATGTTGGATGGTTTGATGTCTCCATGGACAAATTTCCTTGGGCTACACTCATGGAGATAAGCTAAACCTCTCGCTATTCCCTTGGCAATTTTCAGTCTCGTTGACCAGGTTAAGCTCGGCGATGGTTGCCCATTTCTCCCTGTGTAAAGGCAAACCACAGTTTCAATCACAACGTTTACAACACTATAACAAAGAAGATACAAGTTAATAACTTTTCAGCTCAATATTAACATTACACTAGAGGCAAATCGTCATTCATATTAACTCGGTTATGCACAATCTGTTTGACCATGAAATAACTGTTGCTAGTTTGATAACTTCAGACTTACCACATGGCAATTCAATTCAGAAGCAGAGACAAAGGAAGAGAAGAAAAGGAACAAGTCCTTAACTTCTTCAAAATGCAAAAGGAAATATTGTACAGTCAAATTCCAGTTGCATAATCTTAAAAGTGTATATTAAGAAACCAGGAATTTCGGGTACCATATAACCATGATTAAGAAGTATATATATATATGGCTTTACCAAAGAAAACCAAATATGTTGTCAGAAAGCAAGCACTTACTACTGGGTAGCAGTTGTGTTACCGATTCATAGTGACAAGTGTGTAGAGTAGTGTAGTATATATTCGATAAATGTAACAACAATTTGTGTCGGGCAAAAATCTAAATTAAAAAGATGAACATCAATGCAGCTATATCAACAGCAACAGTGCAAAAGTCACATGCAGAACACTAATTTTGGAATCCACCTCAAGGAAGAAGTCCCATTTCATACTGGATGGTAGTTACCAGACCAGATAACTACACATTCTGGTTTCCTTCGAAAAAAGAAAACATCCATACAGTCAAAATGCACCAGTCAGAGAGATTCTAAAATTCTTGAATATTAGCATATGTAAATCAGGTAATAGATCTCCGAAAGACATAATTGACCTAGTAGTATCCAGATGCAGTTGGATAAACAGATCCTTAACTCCACAACTCAAGGAATTGATTAAATTCTTGGACCCTTGTATTTATTGGTTTGTCTCTAACTGATGATAGATTGTTTTCGCAAGATTTATAGGGACAATCAACCATATATCACGCGGACAAAAACAGATTAAATCTTTCAAAACATAAAGAGTCCCAATTTCCCTCTACCAGATTCTGTATGATGTCAATATCTGATTATTGCATCTGCAGTAAATACTGCAAGTCTGCATAGCTGGATCATTACTATGTTAATACGCTGTGGCGTGCTTTATATGTCCATTGAAATGGATGGCAAATATTATGTTCTTGATCTACCCTTTATGCAGATAACTTTTACACATGAGATGCATTATAGAAGACTTCCTTATCAGCTGATACAATTAGGCTTAAATCCTAAGCATAGTATCAAGTCACAAACAATAATCATCCTCACTCAAGGATTGCAGAAGCACACATGGGACTCTTTCAAGATAAAACTATTATTAGATGGCATGTGTCTACATCACACCCTTTGAGGTGCAGCCCTTCCCCGAACCCTGCGTAAACGCGGGATACTTTATGTACTGGGTTGTCCTTGCAATAGCTAATAGTCATTATTTCATGACCAGGCATATATTAAGCAGTTATACGAGTGAATAAAATACTTGAACATCCCAAGCTCCTAACTAATCTACTACCAGAAGTCTTTTTCTGTTTTTCCAATTCTTAAAGAGTGATCAATAATTAAAACACCAATTCATTATTTTAGTTTGCTCATGAGTTTATCATGCTACTAATGGTAAGAATATAGTATACCCCAATGTTCCGAACATGGATGCATCAGATCATTCTTTCAAAACGATGTAATATCTACTACACAAACAAAATTGAAGAAGTTTTAGTATTATGAAAAGCTCACCATGAAGGGCAGAAGTCAAGCTTCCATTCGAAATGAAATCACTAATGAGAAGCTTCTCGTCAGGAGCCCAATAATAAGCTCTTAATTTCACGACATTAGGATGCTTAACCCTTCCGATCGCCTGAATCTCAGCCACAAACTCCTTATATCTCTGTTCCCCACCTTCCCCCAACCTCCTCACGGCCACAGGAATACCATTCCCGAGCACAACCTTGTACACTATCCCTAATCCACTCTTTCCTAAGACATAAGCAGAAGCCCTCAACAGCTCATCAAGCTCAAAGTTAAAACCTTTATCAATAGCCACGAGATCGCCCTCGCCACCACTAACACCGCCACTAGCTCCACCACCACCTCCCTTCTCAGACTCAACTTCTGATTCATTATTCGGAAATCCACTAATGCAAGGGAAATCACAGAACATTCTCTTCTCATTCCCACCAAATTTCCCTTTTCCAGTACAACTACAACCACCAGAGTCTTTCTTTTTCCAATACAAGTAAATAATCACTAGACCAATAAATGCCACTCCAAATGCATCAGCCAAACAGATCAATATAATAAATCCTGGTTTTAACCCCTTACGTGAATTAGTCCCCTCATTACTAGATGAACCCTGAACTTCTGATGAATTGTTTGAACTATTTTTACAGCTCTTCTGTAAAGGAAATCCACATAACATAGGATTATTCAAAAATGCCGTTGGACCTTGATTTGCAAATGAACCAGTCTGAGGAATTTCACCAGATAAATTATTATTCCTAAGATCAAAACTAACAGTTAAAGCCAAATCACCTATAGATTTTGGGATTCTTCCACTGAAATGATTGAAAGAAAGATTCAAAGTTCCAGAGAGTGACTTCAATTCACCAATATCTTCAGGAATCGACCCGTTGAACGAATTCGACGAAAGGTCAAGTTGCTCCAAATTCGCCAGCTCCGGGAACACCCCGATCGGAATCTCGCCGGAAAATTTATTCCGAGCAAGAATCAACCTCTGTAACTGCCGGCAGTTACGGAGATACTTCGAGAAAGTTCCAGAAAGTGAATTATTCGAAAGGTCCAAATTTTGAAGACGAGGTAGATTACAAATAGAGGGCGGAAGTTGACCGGAGATATTATTATCATACAGAAAAATACTATGAAGTGACGTGGCATTAAAGAGAGGGTCAGGGATAGAACCGTAAATGTTATTTCCATGAAGATTGAGTCGCCGGAGATACACTAAGGTCCCGAGCTCCGACGGTAAGTATCCCCGGAGATTCTTGCCGGAGACAGTAATCCCAACGACACGTGGCTCTGAAGAACCAGAAATGTTAGCACATGAAATGCCTGTCCAACGACAAGGAGTGTCATCGTTTTCATTCCAGTCGGAGAAAACAGTGCCGCCGCCGTCATCCATCGCAGATTTCAGAGACAAAAGGGAAAGTCCGTCGGAAGTTAAAGAAACACCGGTGTGCATAAAAAGCTGAAAATTCAGCAAACAAAGAAACAAAAATATTCTCAACATGGCTTGTTGAGATCAGTGCATACAGAACCCAAAAAGACACGTACTTTAAAATGAGAACCCTTTTATACTATAGGAACACTATTTTTTTTTATTTTTAAATATCGTAAAGAGAGATCGTTAACGTGTTCGAAATTCCAGTTCCTCTGTTTCACACTTTTCACAAAGTTTTAGTACGAAAAGATTCCCTTATCTTTTAACAGCGGAAGAGAAATGAAAATGGGGTGGTTTGGACGGAGGAGAAGGGAGATCGGTAGTGGCGGAGGAGGGGGTGGAGAGTGAGAATGAAGAAAGGGGAAGTTGGGAGGTATTAAGTAGGAGAAAGAGACATTGCGGGAGGAGTTTGATTGCAGGAGGGAAGGGGTCCACTTCGCGCCCTTCCTAACTGAAGTAGTAGAATTAAAGCAATGTCGTTTATTTCAGATTTTTATAATCCGAGTTAGGAGGAGAAATTTTACCTACATATGACATTTTTGTAGTATCAAGTTACTATATAGTAGAGGAATTAGGGAGAAATTCAAAAAATAGCCAGATTTACAAGTGGTCGTTCAAAAATAGCCCAGTTTCAAAAGTAACCGAAATCTATCCATTTTTCATGTAAAGATAAATCTAAGCGAAAACACTGTTCAAAACCCGAAAAATACGCCAGTATATTATGCTGGAGTTCCAGCATAAGTATACTTGAACTCCAACATATTATATTGGAGTTCCAGGATAAGTATGCTGGAACTCCAACATAATATGATTGAGTTCCAACATAAGTACACTAGAACTCCAGCATAATATACTGAAGTTCCAGCAAAGTATACCGGTCCAGTATAATATGCTGGAAGTTCGTACACAAGTGCTCGAATCTCCAGTATATTATGCTGGAACTTTCCGTGTGTTGGAGTTCCAGCATAATATGCTGGAAGTTCATACACAGGTGCACCGAACTTGATGATAGGCTATAATTACATATTTTAGTCGATTATTACACTCTAATTTACTGCACTTTAGTTGAGTTTGAGCTTTAATTGCTAGTATTTTGCACTAACGGTGTGTTTTATGCCTTGTAGGAGTGATTCCGAGCTATGTAGATGTTATGGAATGAATTCAAGTGATTTGGAGCTTTAAAGTTTGAGTAAAAGTTCAAGGAATTAAGCCGGGATCGTGTTCGGGGGTCAACGGATGATAGTTAGAGCGAACGAAAACTCCAGTAGGCATATCGCGCACTGTCTAGTAAAATGGATATAACTTTTTGCTCAGAACTCCATTTTGGCTCCACAATATATGGTTGGAAAGATAACTCAAAGGGCTACAACTTTCATGTTTTACGTTTTTTCAAATTTCAAACGGAACAGGGTGAAAAGTGCGCGCCAAGATGCGCAATCGCGCTAGTTTTAGCGCGCCTAGGACAGAAAGTTGTCCAACTAGCGCGCCCAGATGCGCGACCGCGCTAGTCAAACCCGGGAAAATGTCCTTTTTCACATTGGAGAAGGTATAATTGTTTGGGCCCAACCCTACTTGGTATATATACATGGAAAACGGTATTTTGTAGGGGAGGACGCCACTTTTGGTGATTTCTAACATACTTTGACGGAGAATTCACGTGGAGGAACACACACCACGCTTGGAGGAGGCTTTCAACTAGTTTTTCTTCTCTTCTCTTCCTTTAATTTCATAGTTTATTAGTCCTAGAGTTTTGGGTGCTACATGAACGTTGTAGTTTGAACCTTGAATTGTTCTTATTATTTTATCATATTGGTTTATTTATTCAATCTTGCGCTTAATTATTTGATTGCTTGATCACCAATTGAATACTATCTCGAATCTAGGATTGAACTCGGGAGAGGGAATTCTAGATTGCATATAAGATTGAATAGAGCAAGATCTTAACTCTTAGGGGGAGGGGATTTGCGGTTAGGATAGGAATATACCTAATCGCCTTGCTTGATCATTATACGGGAATTATAAATGCGTTCTTGTTAATCCTAATTCCATAGGAATATAGGCGTTAGGTTAGCTTGAATAGGCGAGTTGTACTTCGGGAGAAGGCTACGAGCAATATTAACCTTGTCAATCAATAAATCAGATAAATTAATTAGACGATTTAGGTGGAAAACTCAACGGGATTGTTAGCTAACCCATAGCTCTAGAATATTCACTCATATTGAATTCGTCTCTATAATTTGCCAACTTATTTTCTTTGATCTCTTAATTTGTTACTCTAGTTTAATTTTAGTTAAATATTCATACTTTAGAAATTCGCTAACTCAAAGGGCTACAACTTTCATGTTTTACGTTTTTCCAAATTCCAAACGGAACAGGGTGAAAAGTGCGCGCCAAGATGCGCAATCGCGCTGGTTTTAGCGCGCCCAGGACAGAAAGTTGTCCAACTAGCGCGCCCAGATGCGCGCCCAGATGCGCGACCGCGCTAGTCAAACCCGGGAAAATTGTCCCTTTTCACATTGGAGAAGGTATAATTGTTTGGGCCCAACCCTACTTGGTATATATACATGGAAAAACGGTATTTTGTAGGGGAGGACGCCATTTTTGGTGATTTCTAACATACTTTGACGGAGAATTCACGTGGAGGAACACACACGACGCTTGGAGGAGGCTTTCAACTAGTTTTTCTTCTCTTCTCTTCCTTTAATTTCATAGTTTATTAGTTCTAGAGTTTTGGGTGCTACATGAACGTTGTAGTTTGAAGCTTGAATTGTTCTTATTATTTTATCATATTGGTTTATTTATTCAATCTTGCGCTTAATTATTTGATTGCTTGATCACCAATTGAATACTATCTACAAATCTAGGATTGAACTCGGGAGAGGGAATTCTAGATTGCATATAAGATTGAGTAGAGCAAGATCTTAACTCTTAGGGGGGGCAGATTTGCAGTTAGGATAGGAATATACCTAATCGCCTTGCTTGATTATTATACGGGAATTATAAATGCGTTCTTGTTAATCCTAATTCCATAGGAATATAGGCGTTAGGTTAGCTTGAATAGGCGAGTTGTACTTCGGGAGAAGGCTACGAGCAATATTAACCCTGTCAATCAATAAACCAGATAAATTAATTAAACAATTTAGGTGGAAAACTCAACGGGATTGTTAGCTAACCCATAGCTCTAGAATATTCACTCACATTGAATTCGTCTCTATAATTCGCCAACTTATTTTCTTTGATCTCTTAATTTGTTACTCTAGTTTAATTTTAGTTAAATATTCATACTTTAGGAATTCGCTTGAATAGATTAATTGTTTGGTTTAATTTAGTTGATAGTTAATCACCAGTCCCTGTGGGTACGATATTTGCACTTACAATCCTATATTACTTGTCGACCACGTATACTTGCGTGTGCGTTTTGGAGCAACAGAACTCCAGTATATTATGCTGGACCGGTCTCTGTTGCAGCAAAATAGTGGCTATTTTTTATTGACTTGGTAAACGCTGGCTATTTTTGAATGACCAGTCCGAAAACTGGCTAGACCGTGCTATTTTTACGAGGAATTAGGCTTTCATGGTCATTGAAATTAAGAGCCCGTTTGGACATAAGAAATTTTTCACCTTTTTTTCGATTTTTTTTTTACTTTTTTTCAAAATCAGCGTTTGGTCATAAAATTTTCAATTTTTACGTGAAAATGCATTTTGAAATTTTTCGAAATTTTGAAAAAACTCCAAAAAATTATTTTTCAAAATTTTCACTCAGATCGCTCAGAAAACTACAAAAGCAACCCAAAATTATATTTATGTCCAAACACAACTTTAATTTTCAAATACCATTTTCACTTGATATTTTTTTTTTCACTTTTTTTTTTGGAATTTTATAATTCTTATGTCCAAACGCTCACTAAATGTCTAGATCTCGTATGTTTAAAAGATAGAAAGTGTTCAAACTCGAAAGTGTTTTCACTTTTTTCACTAAACACAACTCTTTTTTCACTTTTTTTGGACATAGAAAGTGTTTTTTAGATCTCGTATGTTTAAAAGATAAATGTCTTATCTATAAAGGCAAATCTCCCGTGTGTCAAAAAGAAAAATCGGAACCAGAGGTGAAGCCAGGATTTCAAGCTTATAGGTTTTAATCTCACCTTAAGTTACTTGGCTTTAAATAATAATTTATATATTTTCAATAAGTTTTTTAAGACAAATACAAGGTTCAAATCAAAGCTATTGGGTTCGACCGAACCGCTTTCTGCACTCTAGCTCCGCCCCTGATCGGAACATAAACCTAAAAACAAGTTTGTAATGACCCATAAAACTATTGGACCCTCCATGTTTTTTCAAATACATAATATGACAGTAGTTTTACATAACATCTAGATAGGTAAACCTTTTTTTTTTTCAAAAATTTTGAAAATTTTATGTCCATACTCGCATAAAAAATTAATTTGTTTGAACCTAATATCTTGAACTATGTCACATAAAATGTAACAAGAAAAGATATTTTATATAAAAGAAAAAGAGTTTCATTACATAAGCGTCAAGGAAGGGGAAGGGGAAGGGTAGTAGAAAACTGGTCGTGTAATGAGACTTTTATAATAAAGTTTTTACACTATGAGTTGAATTTAATATGACATAAATGGTTAGCTGTTTATTTTTCAGATTACTAGTTTTACATACTGTGGAAGTTATCAGTAATTGACGTAATAATGTAAAAACATTATAACTGAACAATTTTTAACAAATTTATCGAAGCATAATCCTAATTTTTTAGAAAGCTGAGACTGGTTTTAAGAATATGAAATACAGGAGATTTTATAATAATTAATACTGTATTTTAAAATATTCTAAAAATAAATTATAAATTTAGCTTGTTGCTACTTTGATTCAAAAGGTAGTTGATTTTCGACTTACTTTGTCTCTCGCATCATAGCCACTTGACATTCCGATTATTTCATCCATAAACTTTTTTAATTTCGAAATGGCAATACTCTCTAATAGATGTGTCATTTTTTAAATTGACAGAATTTTACTTTTATAGTGTTCACTTTTCAAAGAAACTTCAGTGAAAATAATGCTCAAAGTATTAAATAGGAGTAACTTATTGTTTATATATGCTCTGATATTTTTCTATTTTGTACTTTTGTTCCTTGATAATGTCATTTTTCCATAATGGTGTATTGTGGGCCGGGCTGGGATCGGGCCCGGACCGGGCCCGCGGTCTTAACGGGCTAAACGGTCCCGGCGGGCCGGTCCTGGTGGGCCGGTCCCTGGTGGTGTAGAAAGCCCGGGGCAGGCCGGTTCCTTGCGTCAAGCCCACGAGACCGGGACCGCTAAGCCCGGGACCGGCAGGCGGTCCTGGGCCGGTTCAACCGGGCCTAACGGTCCTAACGGGCTCCAACGGCTCTTTTTTAAAAAAAAAAAATTTCTTTTTTTTAAAAAGACCAACGGTAAGATTTTAAAATCTAGCCGTTGGCCTTTAATTTTCAACCGTTTGAAACTTTAAAAAATAGCCATTTGGCCCCCAAACTTTATTTTAACCCCAAACTTTATTTTAACCCCAAACTTTATATAATTACACTTTTTTCCAATTCTCAACTATAAATACCCCCTCATTCTTTCATTTTTACTCACCAATTCATCAATCTATCTCAATCTCTCTCAATCTATATCGAATTTCTCTTCTATAATTGCTTATTTTATTATTGCAATTTCGTGAAAAATTGTGAAGTTGGTGAATTGAAGTATTCAAGTCTTCAAGTCTTCAACGATTTTTAATTTTCAAGAAGTTGTTCGGCAATTCGATAAACTCGTTCCAACTCTTAAGTTTTAAGAATATATTTTTGTGTGTTTAGTTTGCATAATTGTAATTAATATGGCATTTTCTTTGAAAAAAATATTTGGTGGTAAGGGAAAAGCTAAAATTGGTGAAAGTAGTCTCCAACCTACTACCCTTCCCCCGGCTCCCCGACCCAGACCTGTTACCCGTCCTGCTGCTCCTATTATTCTTGATAGTGATAACCCTTGTTTTCAATTTTCCGATAGTGAATTTTGCCATAATGTTGCACCAGGTGAACAATTAAATGAAGAAGTTATGAATGCTCTTTATCCTAATCAAACTATCTTAGAAAATGATGAGGAAAATGAGGATGTAGATGAAACCCAACCGGATTTAGATGATTCACCTACTAGTCCTGTTAATAACCCAACTGATGCCCCACCTGACCCACCTGTAGAAACCCCTATTTTTAATAGACAACCTTCTAAACGCCTAGAAACATCAATAGTTTGGAATTTTTTTACTCAAGTAAGAGAACAAAATAAGGCTAAGTGTAAAACTTGTGGGAAATTGCTGGCGCATAAATATACTGGAGACCGTAGCGGTACGGGTAGTTTGGCTAGGCACATACAAACACACCCTAGAGATAAAGTTAAATATTTACAAATGAAAGCGCAGCAAGAGGGGACAAGTGTAGATACTGCGGTTAACCCTAGTACAGGTTCAAATCTAGTTCAACCAGGAATTAACACTGTGACCGGTGGTATTTTATATTACGATCCTAATAAAGATCGTGAAGAATTAGCAAAGATGGTTACCGTTATGTGCTTACCATATACTTTTCCTTCTAACCCTAATTTTGTGCATTATATTAGAAAAGTTTTTAATCCTACTTATAAAGGTTGGCCTCGCGCAACAGTTAAGAGCGATATTTATAAATATAAACATGAATATGAACAATATTTGCGGTATTTATTTACTCATATAACTAATCGGATTTCTATTACTACTGTTATTGGTAGAA